ACAATCAATTTTTATATACAGTATTTCTTCTATACTATGTGTAATATAACCAGATGGGTCAACACAAAAAAATCTCTTTGATAAGGAGTTTTTATTTCTCAAATTATTTATTGAGCAAATACTGCAAAATAGAGAGGTAATTTTTACGATTTTCTGGGATTATTTCTCCTTTGCTGGAATATCTAAAGAGATACAGACATGTGCAGTTCATTTCAGTATGAATTGAAATTCGGATGAAATTTTCATTATTCAGAGATTTAGATGTATATGAATTTCCAAATCACAATCATAACAGATTTTAACTAATACTAAATAAATTATAAGGAAACAAATGATCCAAATACAAATTTGAATATGAATTTGAAAAATAATTCCAATTCAAAATGGAAACATTTTGCAGTAAATACAGAAAGGTATAAAGGTTCAATAAGATGTTGACTCCTACTTAGGCTGCTGGATAGAATAGAATAGAATAGAGTAAAACAGAATGGAATAGAAAATAAAGGAGAACAGAGAGTAGAATAAAACAGAATAGAAAATAAAAGAAATAGAATAGGAGATAAATAATAAAATAGAATAGAAAATCAAGGAATAGAGTAGCATAGAAGAGAATAGAAAATAAAGGTATAGAATAAAACAGAACTAAATATAAATAGAAAATAAAAGAATAGAAAATAATAGATTAGAAAAAAATTCTAATAAATTCTAATAAATTAGAATTGAAATTTGTACACTATTGACGTGGTTGGTATGTGGCAGAGATCCACAGGGCAAAGCAGAGAAATTTAGAGGGAAGTGGTTCTATTGGTCTCTGTATAAATATTCTGAGGAACATGGCTCAATCCTTGCAACTTAGGGGTGGAGACCCTCCCCCTCACATTTTTTCATTCCCTCCCCCCTCCCTCCACTCACATGCCCATCCCCCCCACCCTTTTTTTCCTATTCTCTTCTCTCCTTTCGCCTTCATTTCCCTTTTGATTTCTCTTTTACAGTTTCTGTATTAACCCTCCTAGCTGTCCCAGATGTGGGGCCTCATGTCCTTTTGTTTTTTATTTGATGGGAAAATTGCTCAGATAGGAAATTATTTATCTGACTGGTTATCTAAAATTTTCACAGTGGTACACATACTGACTGTTTGGTGATATGGATGTCTAGTTTGGTGGCCATTGCAGACTGCCTTAAGACTTGTATTTTATGACCCTGTAATTTGCTACCTGTCTGAGCATAATATATTTCAATAAAAAATATGAAAAAACTATAAAAATTTTAAATTTAAATTTTGATTTTTGAAATAATAATAAACATTTATATTTGAAAAAACAAATATAGCAAACAAATCGTAATATACAACACATTCCAAAAAGAATCATTCTAACATAATGAATATGACTAATTTAAATTATTAAAATTTTTTCTAATTTGAAAATGAATTTGAAGTTGAAACATATTGCAAAAACGACAGTAAGGTATAAAAGTGAAATAAGATGCGGATTCCTACTGCTTTATAGATTAGAATAGAATACAAAAGAAAGGAATAAAATAGAATGGAAAATAAAAGGATAGAATAAAACAGACTAGAGCAGAATATAAGAGGATAGAATAAATAGAATAGAATAAAATGAAAGGAATAGAATAAAACAATGGTATAGAAAAGAATATAAAGAAATAGAAAAGAATAGAGTAGAATGGAAAAAAATAGATTAAAATAGTAATTATAGACGTCTTCCAAAATTCAAAATTCATAGTTTTTTCTCATGCAGCCTGTGGGGAGAGGATCTCCTGGGCTCTACCCACAGCTATGATCTCTGCATGTTGTCTGACAATGTCACCTCTACTATTACAAGGTCATATCTGGGCTTGCATAGGCATTTGGTGAACACAAAGTGGCTTTATATTGTTTTTGAATTTTATAAGAAATACGAATAAATAAAAATTGTGTGCGCGGAGTTGAACTTTAAAATGTACTATTTGTAAATTGTTAATGCACTGCATTATGAGCTTACCTGATATGCGAGTTATCTTCTTTCATTCTAAACAGATACAGTATATGCTGTCCAGATGTTTCTTTTAATATAGACAAGTCCATAACCTGTGCATGTTTGATTATGTATGTAACTGAAATTTATAAAATAGTAATTTTGCATGACCAATATGCTAATAGAAAAGGTATGTGCTTCAGCTTTCATATTTTCTATATGATACTGTCAGAACATACTACTTTGATCTTTTACTTTGAATTTAAGGTTGTGTAGTTTTTATAATAAATTTGAAAGCACTTTATATAAAAGGTTTTTGGTAACATTTTTAGTAACTATTAATTTTGCTAAACTAAGAAAAAAAAAAAGACAATGTAAGATGGAAGCAGCACTCATCCAACCCCATTGCTGATTACTGATTTTGCTTTCCATTATACTTTTTACAGAATTCTAGTTTCACAGATAATTTATTAATAGCTCTTTGCATAAGTATTTTTCCCCTCTTCCTACTCCATAATTTGCAGTGTCAAATTATGGACCTAAAGTGGAATTTCTAACATATACTATATAATGAAGGTGCAAGATGTTTATTTCAACCTCGTTCACACGGCAACCAGGGATGGGGGCGATAAAACAGGTGGTTTACCACCCCATGACCGTCCACCTAAAAAAGAACATGCAACCTCTCAGGGTGCAGTTAGCGGGCAGCAAGGTAGTAGGCCAGTGAGTTTAACATCGGTAGTAGTCAAGTTAATGGAATCACTCCTGAAAAGAAGGATCATTGATCACTTAAAAAAACACAACTTGTTGGATCCAAAGCAGCATGGCTTTGCTGTGGGCAGATCATGTCAGACTAATCTGATTGGATTTTTTGTGACTATATTACCAATGTTTTTGGACCAGGGTGGTGCTGCGGACATAACATATCTTGATTTCAGCAAGGCATTTGATACAGTTCCACATTATGATCTAATACAAGAGTTGTACAAGCTAGGACTTTGCCCTTGGGTGGTTCAGTGGATATGCAGCTGGCGAAAGGTTAGATACCAGAGCGTGGATGTAAATGTGGTTCACTTGGAATCGAGACCATCACTAGTGGTCTACCACAAGGCTCTCTAGTAGGTCCTGTTGTATTTTATTTATATGTAAGTGATATAACTAAAGGTTTGTTGGGTAAGGTATGTCTTTTTGCTGATTACGCAAAGGTGTGCAAAAGGGTTGATATCCCTGGGGGTGTCTGTGTCACGGTGTGCCTTCACCCTCCCCCCTCCTCCCCCCTTGCCACGTCCTCATCCTGCACACAGCCTCTGAAGCCAGGCTGTGCGGGATGGGGGGAGGGGACCCCTGCGGTGGGGATCACAGCTCATCTGGCAATCTAGGCGGAGGAGCTGTGACCCCCTGCCAGGAGACCCCAGCAGCAGACCGCCGAGATGTCTCTGTGTGCCCCTGGTGGACACAGCGCAGCCACAGGGGCTTCCCACGCTCTGCGCCCTCCAGTGACAAAGGCCGGCATGCCTCAGGGCTGGGCCGGCCGTTGCCGGGGCAACCCGGAAGCGTCCTGGGAGCTTTAAAAGGCTGGCGCGGGAGCCGGCTAGTCTCTTCCTCCCGCTGCTGTCCCTGGGGCCACTGCTGTCGTGGGAGGTCCGGTTGGGGACCGGACCTCCGCAGCCATCCCGCTGAGCGCTCTGCATGAGCCCCCCTCCTCAAAAGTCAGACCCCACAGCCATGACTCCCGCTGCTGTCCCTGGGGCCACCGCTGTTGTGGGAGGTCCAGGTGGGGACCAGGCCTCCTCAGCCATCCCCCTGAGCGCTCTGCATGAGCCCCCCTCCTCCTCAAAGGTCAGACCCCACAGCCATGACTCCCGCTGCTGTTCTTGGCAAACTGTCCGCTGCGAGGGCCCTTCCTGCTGATCGCTGGGCCCCTAGAGAAGCTGGTCACTGTGAGGGCCCCTGCCTGCTGATCGCTGGGCCCCTGGAGAAGCTGGCCACTGTGAGGGCCCCTGCCTGCTAATTGCTGCTGTCCCCTGAAAAGCTGGACGCTGTGGGGGCCGCCGTCCATTGCTGAGGGTCCCTCGGAAGCCGCCCCTGTCTGCTGATTGCTGGGCCCTGGGAAGCTGCCCTGTCTGCTGATCGTTGGGCCCCTGTAGAAGCTGGCCACTGTGAGGGCCCCTGCCTCCTAATTGCTGCTGTCCCCTTAAAAGCTGGCCGCTGTGACGGCCGCCGTCCGTTGCTGAGGGTCCCTGGGAAGCCGCCCCTGTCTGCTGTTTGCTGGGGCCCTGGGAAGCCACCCTGTCTGCTGACCGTTTTGTCCCTGGAAGCTGCCTGCTGCTGAGTGTCCGCAAATCGCCTGCCTCCCTCTGGAAGCCCCTGCTGCTGAGCATCCGCAAGTTGCCTACCCACCCCCGGAAGCCGCCTGCTGCTGAGCATCTGCAAGACGCCTATCGTGAGTGTCCCTAGAAGCCATGAACTGCCCCTATTGTGTGCCCAGACCACCCTTGCCATGAACTGTCCCTATTACGTGCACAGACCACCCTTGTCCTGAACTGTCCCTAGTGTGTGCACAGACCACCCATGTCATGAACTGTCCCTATTGTGTTCACAGACCACCCTTGTCCTGAACTGTCCCTAGTGTACGCTCAGACCACCCGTGTCATGAACTGTCCCTGTTGTGCGCACAGACCACCCGTGTCATGAACTGTCCCTATTGTGCACTCAGACCACCCTTGTCATGAGCTGCCCCTATTGCATGCCCAGACTACCCTTACTTGAACCGCCCCATGGTGCGCCCGGAGTTTAGCTACCTGGGATGCCCCTGAGTGCTTGAGCCATCGCTACCTGCTGAGTCCCCATGAGCCCGATGTCCCTATAAAGCTGGGTGGGAGCTGTGCTGAGGTCAGCCCCCCTAGTCAAGGTCCTGCTGAGTCCCCGTGAGCCCAATGTCCCTAGAAAGCTGGGTGGGAGCTGTGCTGAGGTCAGCCCCCCTAGTCAAGGCCCTGTTGAGTCCCCGTGAGCCTGATGTTGTCCCTAGTACTCTGTGTGGGAGCTGTGTTGAGGCCAGATTCCACAGCCGAAATACCGTTGAGTCCCCGTGAGCCTGATGTTATCCCTAGTACGCTGTGTGGAAGCTGTGTTGAGGCCAGACTCCACAGCCAAGGTCCCGTTGAGTCCCCGTTAGCCTGATGTCGTCCCTACTACGCTGTGTGGGAGCTGTGTTGAGGCCAGACTCCACAGCCAAAGTCCCACTGAGTCCCCGTGAGCCTGATGTTGTCCCTAGTACGCTATGTGGGAGCTGTGTTGAGGCCAGACTCCACAGCCAAGGTCCCGTTGAGTCCTCGTGAGCCTGATGTTGTCCCTAGTAAGCTGTGCGGGGGTTGTGCTAAAGTCAGATCCCATTGCCAAGGTCCCGTTGAGTCCCCGTGAGCCCGCTTACCATGGGTGTCCCTACAAGCCGCATGTCGCGGAGTGCCATGAACTTTCCGAATTGAGTGTCTTTCATAGTTCAATAAAGCTTTGTGTGTTCCCCATCTTCTTTGTGTGTTCTGTCCTTCTTACGCTTTTGTCACATTCTGTAACATCTAACATGATTTGGCATTGCTGGAAAATTTGTCAAAAAAGTGGAAATTGCAATTCAATGTTTCTAAATGTAAAATAATTGCCCTCTGAAAAGTGATCCACTACAGATCATGTTTCAGAGGGGCAGCACTGGCAATTCCACTCTTCTGGGTTTCTGGTCTCTTACAAAAGGAAACACATTTTTATCTTCCATACATATTCCCCTCAGTCCTGACCAGTTTTAGTCCCTGTTGGTTGAAAGTATTCAGGTTTTTGTTTTTCTTTGAATAGTCTCTCCCTCTTCATATGTGACTCTCTGAGAGTAACCATTGGCCCCTTGGATGCTTTAGTCTCAAAGAAAAAAAAAACACAACAAGAAAATGTATCTCAGCTCTGTGGCACAGTGCAGAGAAAATGCTGGCTTTGCTTTGATGTCTCTGGGTCTAGATGGCTTTTAGTAATTTAGGGGCCAAAGAATTTCACATTTTCAGCCAGCACCACAATATATTGTCAGACTATCATTCTGTGAGTCTGTGATTCAAAGCTCAAAGTGCAATGATCCAAAACAAACACCATGAATACATTTTGTAATTTAAGATGGCAAGAGTACTGTCCTCAATCCCTTTAAAATGTAGTGAGATATGAAGCAGGCCACTAAAAGAAAGAAATCACATAGTGCCCCTCCAAAAGATTGCCATTCGAAGTTGAAGGTCTTTTTATAAATCAGGTAATGCTACTGTTCTTGGGAAACTATTGTCGTGCTTACTGAAAATATTAGAAAAGATTCAGGGCCATTTACATTTTTGCATTATGGCAACTTGCACTAAATTGCATGTATTAATGCAGTTGCCACATTGTGAATGGCACCCCAATGTATTGTACAACAGAGCCCAACACACAGTGCAGCACATCACAATGCTTATACCATGCGTTGTGTGCACTGCATTGTTAAACACAGGTTGTGTGTGCTTTTCATCTCTTGTGGTGCATTGACAGTCCATTCATAATGAATGAGCTGCCTGAATAGAGCACACATTGATGTTTGCCTTAACACACCGCAACAAAGAAAATAAGATAACCATAGAATAAAATTCTGAAAAGTATTCTAACATTCATTGACTCATTTCAAGGATGCAGCTTACAAAGTGACAAAAAAAAAGAAAGAAATATACATAAAATAAATCAGTGATTTACCATGCTACACAAGCTGACTGTTAAAAAAGACTGAAAATTTGGGAAAAAAAGTTATATTTTTTACTTTCTGTTATAGAAATATCCAATAAAATCAAATTTTGTCATAAATATACTGTAGGCCAAAATGTATTCTGCTGCATGTCTTTGGTTAAAAAATCCCAATAAGTGCATATTAATTGGTTTGTGTAAAAGTTATAGAGTCTACAAACTATGGGATATAGGTTTGGAAAATTGATTAGTTCTGATGTACTGACGGCCTCATTTCTTTAAGCCCTTAAAATGCTAGGAGAGTACAAATACCCCCCCCCCAAATGACCCCTTTTTGGAAAGTAAACAATCTGAGGTAATTTTTAGAGGCATGGTGAGTTTTTTTTAAAGTTGTAATTTTTTTATCACAATTTTTTGGAGAATGAAGAAATTAAATACATGTTTTTCTAATAATTTATTTTACATACAGTCACCAGTGCAGTACAGAGTCATCATATGACAGTTATGGTGGTGATCAGGAATACTGACTGGTGATAGCAAGTTAAAAAATAAATCAAAAAATAATTGTTTATTCAAATTTTTATTAGTATTTTTTTAAATTAAATACTTTCATCGGAATAGTTTATTATCACCATAGCGGCAATGTTCTACTCTGGGGAAGGTGATCAGGTATTTTTTTTTATTACTGTTACAGTGATGATTACTGTAACAGCAATGTTTTGAACTGTCAAGAATGGGTTCCATACATAACAACTGTAGTTAGTATTGTATGCTGTGGTTGGCCGACAGCTACCAGGCCCAGGCACCATGTGATAGCTGCGAGCCAAACACAGCATCACTATAGGCATCACAGCTGTTATGAAGGAGATTCATTCTTAATAGTTTTGTTGACAATGGGATTATTTGCTTCCATTGCGCACTGCTTACCCTCGGCTGGATGATGTGCATGTTCATCATCCAGCCTGCCCATGCCACCCACCTGTAGTAAATGTACTGTGGGAGGGTGGCCAAAAGACCTTGAACTAATGAAAGTCCCCATGCCAAAATAATGCATTACAATTAAAAAAATAACTGTGGTCAGTTAATATACTTACTTGTCTCACCACTTACTACTTCCCAACAAGATCCGAGAAATACCAAGTAGCCCAAATCTCACGTGTAGTTGTTATTCTACTGTGTTTGCGCATTGTGTTGCGAGATTTGGACTACTCAGCATTCCCTGGGATCTCATCGGAAGGATGTCCTCCTGCAGTTTCAAAGCTAGGGGAAGGTACGTTTATTCACCAAGTCTAGGTATCACTTTAGTCCCTTTCTCCAAAAAGATTAGGCTGAATGTTTGTAAACACAGCAGGAAGGGAGTCCTCAGCAAATCAAAGGTAAATGTGGGGGACGGGGTTTAAATCACCACTGACCATCAATGATGATGGAACACATTTTTAAAGGTGAGGGGTAGTTTAAAGTGCCAGCGAATACCAATGATTTTGTGATTTATTTATTTTTTGGGGTGGTGATGGGGGTTTAAAGTTCCATTGACCACCCATGATTGTGGGGAGGGGGGTTAATGTGCCTCTGATCATTTGGATGTTTTTTTTAAAGATAAAAAAAAAATATATGCAACCCACATTTTTTGGTCTTTTTCTATATACATAAAAAATAGGGGGTTGTTAAATACCATCAAAAGAGAGCTCTTTGAGAGGACTTTACTACAATGGGAACAACCAGAATGTGAAGTAGATGTGCATCGTAACCAATCAGCTTCTAACGTCAGCTTGCTCAGTTAGGTTTTTAAAATGAAAGCTAGAAGCTAATTGGTTGCCATGCACGGCTACTCTAGTTTCTGGCTGCTCTAGTCTTCCTAAATTCCCATCTAGATGTCTAAAATATGTAAAATTAATTTGGGTACAGTGTTGCATGACTAATTAACAGTTTAAACCAGCCTTTCTCAACCTTTTCAATGCAGATGAACTCTTGACATAACATTCTGGTCTCAGGGAACCCCTGCTAAAAATGGCTTTATCTACAATTCATGATACATTAGTGTGATAGGCAGAGGTAAGAATGCTCCTTACACTTGTGGTCATTGGGAAGAATTACCCCCTTGCAGATCAATCGTGTCAGTGGAAACTTACCTTAGAGGCAAAAAATTCTCATTTCTCAAGGAACCCTTGGCAACCTCTGGAGGAACTCTAGTTGAGAAACCCTATCATAGCACTGAAAATTTAAAAATGACCTGATAAATATATACAGCCTAGTACTCATGTAGTTAATGGAATGGGAAGAGGGCCCTAAATAAATAAGCAGGGTGGTCATCATCAGGTGCCCAGAAGTCAGGATTAATCAGATCCAGAAAGCCAGAGGTCCCTGTTTAGGAGATGGGCTTTCTGGATCCGATTAATCCTGACTTCTTGGCACCTGATGATGACCACCCTGAGGGAGGACTACCAAATTTGACCAGACCTTTACCTGATGACGATACTTCTGGATATAATAATATATAACGCGTATTATTATTATACTTCTGGTGAGTGCGCAATTCAGCTATTAATCACGGAGCACCACCATTGAGTCTACCAGTCACTTGGCACAACTGCACAGACTGTTCATATTGAATCATACTTTAATCACTGCAAATACATATTGTCATTTTTAGTGCTGCACTATTTATTTTTTATGTTATTTAATGCTTGTGTTGGTACCTTGAGTGCACAGCAGCTGTTTGGATAGCGCTCACTTTTTTCCATTAGCTTTTCAGAAAAGATGACAAGACGAGCTAACACTGTACACTATCCCCACCTCCCTGGTCCCTGCTGTACTTGCCTCTATGGGTAATGAGCTGTCAGTGCCCATCCAGCCAGTGCAGCGATCTGGGGATTTGAAATCCCTGCTCTCCTCTCCTCTCTTCTTTTTGCAGCACTTCTGGGACAGATTATTGCGATTCTGATTAGTCAGTGCCAGCATAGAGCATTGCTTTGATCTGTCCAGGAATTCTGCAGAAAGTAGAGGGAGAAGAGCAAGGATTTCAAATCCCAAACCACTACATCGGGTGCATGGTCATTGACAGCTCATCACCCATGGAGCTAGGTACAGCAGGGACCAGGGGGTGTGAGGCGGGGGGGGGGGGGTATATGGTGTTAGCTCACATCTTCATTGTTTCTGAAAAGGTGAACAAATCCTTTAACATAACATTAACAAAACAGGGCAATTTAAACTGAGCACATAAAAATATTCAAACATAGGTTTGCTTCAGCAAAAACTGCTCCTCAAACTGATCCAATGGGTTACAAATATAAGCAGCAGAATTATATGCAAATCTCAACCAGACTCTGATTCTATCTTGGTCGGTGAGGCCACCCATCAAATAAAAGACCAATTTGGAAACTTAGTGGATGGGAAGGTACAAGGTCAAATAAACCTTTACAAGAAAAGTTGAGATTTGTGTGCTTTTATGTGCTGTTTTTTTTTTTTGCGTGCAGTTTTTCACTAAAGGTAATCAACAATGCATTTTTTCAAACACTTTGTGTGAATTTTCTGAGTTTTTGAAAGATCCACTTTAAGAAGCTCATGAGATAATCTTAGTACTCATCCCATTGTATAAATTATCGGACAGTGAATATATGGGGAGTCAATATATAGCAAAACACAAGTACATACAGTTAAGTCTGTGCTCCCTGCCCAGTTGCTAAGCAACCAGAGATGCTGCACCACTCTACCCAAAGGAAAAAAAATTGAGTTTTTACCAGCTGTCTGGGAGTTACAAGGAGCCCAGATCATGCTATGTATGGGCTACAT